ACACATTTCAAGTTTAAATCCCCTTTAATTGAAGAGATTAAATAATTACAAATTCAAATTTTATTATTTTTATTTTATTTAATAAAATTAAATATAAGGTACTATAAATTTGTACAACTTTCAAACTTAAAAAAAATTGAGCAAGGGATATTATAAGTATGTATGAATTTTAAATTTAAATAGTTTTTATTTGAGGAAATTTATTAAAAAAATAATATAAATTTATTTTTATAACACTGCAAAGGACTGATTTTGGTAACAGGAACAAGGGCAACGGGCTTGACGATGCTTCCGGTAAATGATATTAAAAGTTGAAATTGGTAAATTAAGAAAAAAATTAAGGTTGGTGTTTAGCAACATGCACAGCTTTTTGGAAGGTAATTAGGGCAGATATTAACCACCAGCAATTTTTTAATTGGGTATGTGGCTCAAAACAATGTCGTTTGCAAATCTTAAGAGGGCCTAGTCCCCTGCTAATGGGACACCTAGTTCTGTTTTTACTGCCTAACCTCTGGTCTATGCAGCATTTCCAGACATCGTGATTAGAATTTTTTTTTTTTTTGGTTTTACGATAATAATTATTTTTTAAAAATTCAATTTTTTTAACAAAAACAATCTTAATCATGCCATCACCATCCATAATCATTGCTGATTTGTGATTCTCGTTCATATTTATTTTATTTAAGTACGTAAGAATTTTGTAAAAAGAAATATGAGGTTTGATTTGATTTTACTGTTTGCAATCCCAAGGAATAAGAATATGTTCAAGAGATTTGTTAAGTACGAGGAATTATTTTATTCAACGTATCATGTCTGTATAGAATATCATTAATATACAAATTAATTTGAAAATATCTTTTTATTTAGATCTGGCTTTCGAGGAATTGACGCTATGTGCTTCCAAAGTTTCTGGCTACTAAACATGGGCTAGTTCTAGAATGGAACCAGGGCTACAGAAAGATCATCTCTAATTCATACTTCATAAATGCATTGAGATTGATTCATGATGAAGAATTAATTTTTCATGAGTTTGGAGTCGTTGCTGTGGATATTAAAGATTTTTTTTATTAATATGGATATTCTTGTATTATATATATTTAGATTAATTTTATGTACATTGAAATTAACAATTATATAATTTTTTAGTATATTTTATATTTTTAAAATTCAAACTAATAATTTAAAAAAAAATTAAAATTTAAACAGTCAAATTACATTCTTTCAAATTGAAATTTCTTCAATAAAGTGGGAGGTTTATTTTATTTTTTTATGAATATTTTAATTTTTTTATTTTCATTGTATAAAAATTACTAAAATATCATAAATTTCATAATTACTAAAAATTTATATAATTATTAATTTTAAAATTTTAAAAAATTAATTAAAATACGTATAAACCAATAAAAATAAGTATAGTTAATTAAAAAAACTTAAATTAATAAAAAAATTACATCAAACTGGTTGAACATCATTATATAACATATTACTGGATAAAGAATCTGAAAAAAAAAGAAACTCTATCCGGGTATTAAACCAAACCTAAGAGACCCAACAACCTGCTAGTTGAACTGGTGAAATCCTGAATTGATCATAGACGAGCGGGTCGGAAGCTCCGATTGAGTGAAATATAATCAGGTGGCTTCCTCAGGAAGGGTTGAGCTGAAATCTCTGTTGGCCTTGCGTAAGTTGTAAAACTAGAGGAGCTTCAAAAACCATTGGTTGGCTTGGACAGGAAGATGGATCAAGGAATCAGGTTCCTGATATAATGGAAAATGCCCAGTAAATGACGACAGGAATATGCAGATTTCATTTTTAATTGACTGAGCTTAACATCATGAAATGTACGAATTTCTCGTGGATTAAGATTCTCTCAATGACAAGATGTATTTACTTTTTTAAAATATTTTTATTTTTTTAAAATATTAAATTAATATTTTTTTATATAAATTTTGATTATCTTTATTAAAGATAAAAAATATTATTTTAATATATTATTTACTTTAAATTATTTTTATATTTTTAAATTACTTTATTATCATTATTTCAAATACCTTGTTTGTTTGTATGTTCTAACCATATTTATATATATAAAAAAAACTTCAAATAAATTTTTTTATAATATTTTTATAATAATTTAATATATTATTTTAAAATAAAACCATTTAAAAAAAACTACTTTAAACATCAATCCCCACAAGACAGATTTTGGTATCCACATCAGTATTCCATTCCAAAACAATATTATCTTCTGCCTGTCAAATGTTATCTCGACCTTGGGCCCTTCACAATAGTCAATCCAAGTTTCCTCCTCTCTGGTCAGTGAAGACGACTTCCATTTACTGACATTAATAATGGCTTAATTGAATCTCAAGCTTCTCTCTAGGGTTTTGCAGCAGAAGTTGACCAGGTTCGCCAGCACCACTAACCAAGTAATTTTGTACAGGAAATCGAGCCTTAAAAAGGCTTATTAATCTGATAAAATGGACACCTCAATCAAGAATAAGAATAAAACAACAAGATTCTCCTTTGATATGAAGCCTGGAATGTCAAATGACCATCTAGCTAGTGGGAGAGGGAATATAGACTCCAAAGAGAGCTTTCTGGATATTGTAAAGGATTTGGACAGGAAGGGGTGGTTGTTGTTGATCAGCTCTTTGGAGAGGAAAACTCCGATCAAAGTTGTCCATAAAGGGGAGGCTTACAGTACAGTATTTTAAGACTTTAAAAGAGTGGAAATTAATCACACCCTTTAAATAATAATTGTAGTGCTAAGTAGTAGGTCCTACCAAATGTTCATTCCTAATCTACTCCCGACCATGACAAATCATTAAAAACCGTTTCTAATTCTTGTTTTTATTCAACTAGAATGAGATTTTTTTTCTTTTTAGCTATACAGTTTCTATTTCTTGAAAATATTAATTTTATATAAGTTAAAATAATATTTTTTTATTTATGAGAACCCTATTTTTTTATTTGTATGATAATATTTTTAATTAAATATATATTTTTTTAAATGACAACTATAAGTATTATTCCCAGATTAAAAACTGTTTTAGTTCAGCGGCTATGACTGTGTTTTATTTAAAATACAAGTGCAATTGTCTGGTTAAAAAAATATATATATATTGTTATTGGGTTCTTTTTTTCTGCGTTGGAATTGTGCAGTATTTGAAAAGTTAGAATTTTTTTTTTATTATTCACATTAATTTCACTATTCACTTGTAGGACACTTTTTTTTGTATTAATTTTTTTAAGATTTTTAGTTAAAAAAACTAGTTCAGAGTGAATTTTATACATGATAATATTTTTTTTAAAATGACAACTAAAAGTGTTATTCCCCGATTAAAAACCCTTTTAGTTATGACTGTGTTTTATTTAAAATACAGTTGTAGCTATCTGGTTAAAAAAAAAAGGTACATTATTATTATTATTGGGTTCTATTTTTTTCTGCATTGGAATCGCACAGTATTTGAAAAGTTAGAATTTCTTTTTTTATTATTCACGTTAATTTTACTATTCACTTGTAGGACATTTTTTTTTATATTAATTTTTTAAAGATTTTTGGTTAAAAAACTAGTTTAGAGTGAATTTTATACATGATAATATTTTATGTAATTTTATTACATACTAAAAAATTATAAAAACTATAGTTCTTGTTATATATATAAAATAACAATAGCTAAATCTATAATATTTAAATTAAAAATTATCAATATATATATATTAAATTATTTTATAACCTTAATTTTAAAAGTATTCTTAACCAAACATATCAAATTTTTTTTTTTAACCTTAATTTCTACTACAGTTTTAACTCAATATCTATTTTTTCAAACTAACTTTAACTAAAAATATTTTTTTATGAAATATTTTTTTTTCAAATTACAACCACAATAGTTACAACAATATAAAATACACTCTAATTTTTTTTTAAAATATAAAATAAAAGTTATTATAATATCAAACACACTAAAAAAATCATTGAAAACAAGCAACTTATGTAAGAAATTTATTGTGGATTAAATCTGTGTTGGATTGGTAATTTCAAAATTAAAGCAACAAATATAAAAGGATCATGACTAATGGTATGTTGGTGGAAAACAGTCTTAATCAAGTCAAAACAGGAGGTAATAAACAAGCATTCTGTTTCTGACCGGAGGGCGTTTGGTACTACGCTGGGTTTGAAAATATTTTAAAAGTTTTTTGAATTTTTTAAAATTATTTTAATGTAGTAATTTCAAAAATATTTTTTTAAAAATAAAAAAAATATTATTAATATATTTTTCTAAATAAAAAATAAATTTACAAAATAACCACAACCATGTTCTAGATGCAATATTTTCTTGTAGTTATTTAAAACAAAAATTAAAGAAAAAACCTGGAAGACAAAACGAGCCAGAGACCAAGAGGCTGCAGGTTCAAGCACACACAAACACCGAAGTAATTAGTGTTTTCTTTAAACAGTTGCCTACGAGGATTAGAGTTTAATTACTAATTAGAGGAACTAACACCAAGACCCTAGTCAAGAGCTAATCCTCCCTACAATGTATCTAGAAAGGAAAACATTATTGATCTTAATCATGTTATTATAATATAATCCCATCCTATTTATCTTAATTTTATCCAAATCAAGGCCATTGTTTTGTTGCTTTGAACTTATATTTGTACATACATAGCAAGATTCTTTTATCCTTTCTATATATCTTGACGAAAATAGAAAATTCATTGTTTTTAAATCAAATATATTTTTATCCCTGATCTCTTCTATCTCATCATGACACCAACCCATTCCTTTGCAAATTACATATCATTACACGTGTCACTAAAATAAAAGAATTGGAAAGACAATGGCTTTGACTTATATAGAACTTGCATGGAGGGAAACAAAGAGGAAAGTAAATTCATAAAACACAAAACAATATTTAAAAAAAAAAATTGTGTTCAAAGGAGCAAAGGGACAAAAAGGTATTTGGCTAATGCAAATTTTAAATAATCCAGCTCGAAATTAGTTTCTACACTTTCAAAACAATAAAAAATACAGAAAAATAAGTCCTCTCTTTTGCCTTCTTTTTTATCCCATATCGAAACGCTCCGCTTTTGAACCATGCCAATATTCAACACTAATCACTTTGTATGCCAAATCGATCCCCTTGCCAAGATAGATAGATAGATAGATGAAGGGAAATTGAGGTGGTTCTGGAGCTAGTTAACATGCATGGCAGCACTATTCTAAAACCCAGCCTTAAAAGCGGTAAAAAGTACTTAAGGTCAAGGAAGCTAAGCATAAACACCCGTGACCACTAAAGATATATAAACGCCCCAGACCCTAGTTCACCTCTTATTATCCCCTAATTTTAAAGCTAGAAGAACTTTACCTTTCATATATCTACATGCATTACAAAAATACCTCCCTCCCCTCATAGACTTGTACAGGCAGTAGTATGAGTTAGTTCAATGTGCTGATTGCCACCATTTGTGAAGCCATTGTCACATAATTGAGCATGCATTAGGGTTCTCGTCGCTAAAAATCTCGAATGAACAGGACGGCCGTGGCTGATATGAATCCAAATCGGACGGCAGATGCATACACGCGTAGGAATACGGTGGGGCATAGTATGAGGCACCATAACAAGTGCTTGGGCATGCGACATTGCTGCTCACAGCGTACACCGTGGGTGCATAGCAAGTTGTTGCTGGGTGGTCATACACATGCTGAGGTTGGGGGACGTGATTGGTAGGGTGTGGGATTTGGACATTGACATGCCCAAGACCTGGTGATCCAGTGCCTGCTGCAGCAGGGCCAGAATGTCCACCCTCATCAACAGTGTTGTTGTTCCCTGCTGTATGCACCTTCTTCTTCTTCTTCTTCTTCTTCTTCTTCTTACCACCACCACCAGCAGCACTACCCCCGGCTCCAATCTCACACTGACCATCAACTTTCTTGTCAGTCGCCGATGACTGGCCACCTCCTTCTTGACCTGGTTTGCCAACAACACCATGACAACCTTCAACGTGTTTAGGAGAAGAGACTCCAGTATTGACTTTAGCTTCTTTCTCATTTCCACCATCACTGCCTTCTTCATCGCTGCTTTCTTCGTCACTTTCTTTCCCTTTCCCTTTCTTCTTTCCTTTTCCTTTCTTTTTATCTTTCTGATTGTTATCAGCTTTTTCAGGCCACAGCCCTGCATGCTTCCCTGTCTTTTTTATAAGTTTCTTGATTAAAGTATCTGCATCAACATTCCCTATTACCGTGGCCTTTTGTTGCCTTAAATCAACATCTGTGGTGTACACGCCTACAAATACAATCATGACAGAAATTAGCAACTTCAATGAAGTTCATAACTAGAATCAAGGGTTTAGTCCTTAAATCAAAATTAAAAACGACAAAGGAAGAGTGAAAATTAACAAGAACCCAGATGAGAAAATTGAGAGACAAATTATTAAACTTTTGTAGCTAAATACTGTGAAAGAAAACAGTTTGTACAAAGAGCTTGGCAGAAAGTTTGAAATTAAACGAAGATAAAGAAGGCTTCGATAAAAAGAAAAATGAGGGAATCTTGGAAATCTTGCAAGCATGTAACAAGAAATAAGAGAAAAAAGCCAAGGAATCAACGTAAGGTTTTAAGAGGTTCACACTCTACATACCATCTATATTATTCAAGATCTTTTTGACCTTCCTCTTGCACCCCTCACAGTGAACTGAGACCTTCAAGACCAATCTCTGAAGAACAAAGGAAAATGAGGTTAAAACTTAAAAACATGGAAAAGACGGCAGTTTCATCGTAGTTTTGGCTTCATTTAGCTACCTTGTACTTGAGAGGTGGCTCTTTGTTTTCTCCTGGCCCTCCTTCCTTAGCTTCTGTCCCTGCTGCCATGAGGAGAATTGTGGGCGTCTGTTCTGGATGAGGAAGAGAGAGTGGGGAGGAATTCGAGGAAGGGTGGAAGTGCTCAAGGACAATGAAAGTTGAAAACTTGCAAGGACTCGAGGTGAGAGGAAAGTGAGAGATGTAGGGCCTAAAGGTTTAATCTTGGTGAGATGGAAAAAATAGAGATGCTGAGATGTGAATATTGGTACTGCATGAACTTTAGACTAACTTTATGTTATAAATTATAAGCGATGCCTAGTTAATTAAATTCGCATTTGATACCTTTTTTTAGGTGAATATATCAAATGTGGTATTATAAGCATAAAGCTTTATAAAAGATTGGTTCCAAGCTAGCCAGTAACATCAAATTAATGGACTTCATTTGTGATCACAAAGACATTTGATGCTTTTGCTTAATGCTTTCTAGCTAGCTGGTTGAGATTAAAGTACAAATCTTGTTTTAAAAACTAATGTAGAAATCAATTATACATTTATAATGTGTATTTTCAACTCTACTTTAGCCCAGCATTGGTTAAATCTAGTCTAATTTATATATATATTTTTTAAACTGAGATGAATATCAACTACTTAAATAATTTATAAAACCACCTCATGACTTGATGAATTTAGTTAATTTCGAGAGAAACATGTTCAGATTAATTTTAGATATTTTTTAATTTTTTATTTAAAACAATATTATTTTGATTTAAAAAAAACTAAAACAACTTTCTTTTGAATATTTAATATTGTTTATGACAATATTTATTTGATATGTTTGCAATATGATTTGTTTTAATTATTTTTATTATTATAAGTCTATTGTGATGCGATTTCTTTTCTCATTATTTAAAGTCTTTGATTCCTAAATTATTAGACCTTGATTTATTTTTTATACGTGATACACCAATGAGAGTGTTAATAGTTTGCTTGGGATAATTTTGTTGACCTTGGCACCTTGCCTTGTCAATAATTCCACGTCATTATTAAAATACAAATAAAAATATCAAAGAAATATTTTTATCATTAATTTCTAAAAAGATTTTGCTGACAAAAATATTCTCTTAGTATATATTGAAGAAATTATAATAAAAAAATAAAAATAAAGTAAAAAAAATAAAGATATATCATTTTTACTAATGGAATTATCATTGATGAAATCGTTAGTAAACTGTGAACATTATTTATCATATCAATTACCAAAAAAATCATTGACATATTTTTTCATTAGGATTTTTCAAAGAACTCTAGAATTATTTAATTTTTAATTGCACTGTTAATTGTTTTATTTTATAGACAAAATCACCAACAAATTGAAAAGTCATCAATGTTATTTGGTGGTTTTTTGAAAAAATTCAATTAATTTAAATTTTTTATTTAAATATCACAAAAAGAATCACTAACAAATTAAAAAATCAGCGGTGATTGTTGGAGGTTTTTGAAAAATAATTATGAAATTAAAAATTTAAATTAAATATTACAGATGAAATTACTAACAAAATAATTAAAAAATATTAATATTTAATTATTCATTGGTAGAACCATAGCTAACACACTCTGATAAAAAACCTAAATCCTCTTATTGTATAGGAGACAAACTCATTTCTTATTCTTTTTTTTTTCTTCATCTTCTTCTTCTTTATGTGTAAAAAATATCAATATTTATTTATTTCTCTTCTATTCTCTCCTCGTATCCTTCTCTTCTTTTTCATGGTTGGGTATGTCATTTTTTTTTAATTAATATGCCTTACAAAATTTTTTCTTTCTCCTTAACTTCACTTGCAACTATATTGAGGTAAGATCTTTTTTTTTTCATGATATTTTTTACTATATTTGTTTTTTATTTTATTTTTTATTTTTTTTCTTAATAATTGTATAAATATTGTTGTGAGTTTTTTTTTTCATATGAGATCAATTTTTAGTTGATTATTTATAGAATTTTAAAATTTTTAGCAATCGCAACTTTATTTTTTTCATGTGAATTTTTTTAGTTGAATTGTTTTTTATTTTTTATTGCAAATTTGTTTGAGTTGATTTTCTTCTCTTTTTTTTTCCCAAGTATTTTGAGTATATATTATAGAGTGTTGATTTATGTAAATTTAATTATTTTATAATTTCATAAAATGGATTTTTTAAAATATTTTTAAATAATTAATAACGGAATTACCGATGTTATTTTTCTAGGGATATACCGATGAAATGAAATGGATAATTTTTGTTATGTGTCTGTTTTATCAATAAATCTTTTGATACTAATATTTTTTTATTATTAACGAATTTATTGAAAAATAAAAAATTACCCATCAAAGATGTGATATTTAAACATTTATGTTAGTAATTTTGTTGATAAATTAATTTATGTTATTTACTAATAGAATTTGTGTTTTAGACCGATAAAAAAATTTCATTAATAAAACTATTAAGTGCTATAGTGCATGACAACATATACATGACACACCTGATAGGATACATGGCTATTCATGCATGGCAATATATAATTAAGATTAATTTATCATGGAATTCAGAGTAAATTGTGTTTTTTTAAATTTTTATTTTTTTTATAAAAAATTATTTTTTTATGTTTTTAAATTGTTTTGATTTACTGATTTTAAAAATAATTTTTAAAAAAATAAAAAAATAATTTTGATATATTTACAAGTAAAAAACATTTTAAATTGCAATGGTTACCATAATTCTAAATTAATAAATAATAAATCATTATCTGTGAGTACCGTTGAACTGTATATTTTTGAATTTTTGAATTTTTTAAAGTGTTAAAATAATATATTTTTTAATGTTTTTCATTGTCTTAATGTGTTGCTTAAAAAATAAAAAATATTATTTTATTTTATTTTTAAACTAATATGATCTCAAACGCAATATAAACAAGAATGATACGGTAGAAAGAAAAGGAAGAGGAGACTTCTAGGCTAGTAGTTTGACCTTTGAAGGATTTTAAGCAAGTTGCTGCTTAAGATAGATACCTGAGGCAAAGGGAAATGACGGCGATTTTTTTTCCCTTCGATTTTTGTATTTATATTTTTAAAAATAAAAAGAAAAAACTTGTTTAATTTTTGTTGTTGAAATAATAAAAATAAAAAATAATTTTTATATTTTTAAAATCACTCTATTTGGTTTCAAGATATTTTAAGTTTTTAACAAATGGCAGGCGGTTTTTTATGTTTTCTGAACGAAAAAAAACAAATAATCTATTTTTTCTTCAAAATGCTTTTTATATATTAAAACTAAGGCTATGGTTCAAAATGCACTAGCAAGGGAGGGATGGGACTGGGTTCTGCTTGTTCTTCGCAAGTTAAAACAACGTATGATTTTTCAATATGAACTGGACCCTCTAGTCTTTGAACGAGCCGAGCAACAAATCTAAAGGCATGAACATGTTACATGCAGTACATTAACTAGAAGGACCGTAGTTGCTAGACACGATTCAGACAGTGATTCAAATCGGATCATATTTGTCGAGTCCGACAAGTTTAATATCAATGACAAGAACCATTAGGTCGGGGGCGAAGGCAGATAGACACTCTTTGTTAGTTGCAGGCCCAGGGGTCCATTACGAATCAGTTTATAAATATTATTTGTTTTTGTATTTTAAAAATATTTTTTATTTATTTTAAATATTTTTAAATTTTTTTGATATGCTAATATTAAAAATTATTTTTTAAAAATAAAAAATATTTTAATCATCTCCGGTAAGAAGTATTTCCATAATCTGCATTTCTTTCCTTTCCTCTTCTCGTACACAGAGAAAATTGCGTTCTATTTCCGACAAATGTTCCCGAACTCATGGCTGAGCTCTTAAGATGAACTTGGTTGCTCATGTTTCAATCACTGCATTAATCATATGTAGTTGGGTTCTCATTAATATTACATCCTTCCAGATTTGGATCCAGGACAAACAATCTGACATGCTGGCATTAATCCATCGAAGTTTAAACTTCAGGGTATAAGAACAGAACACACATGATCATCGTTCATTTTTCTTCCTAGTTATAAGACCCAACATGATGTTAATCCGATCCAAGTTCTTTATCGTAGGTGGGAAGGGTTGACTCGAAGATCAACAGGCCAACACACACTATTTTTTTTAATAAAAAATCACCTGAAAATACAGTGTCATTGTTTTTAAAAACAAGAACAACACCGTCTTAATAAAAAAAGAAGTCTGGTTTGAAGTAAACAAGGTTCTAAATTGACAAATCACCGTTTTTATGTTGATTAGTTGCGCCATAAGAGAAGGAATTTTTTATATATATCTTGCAATTGCTTGGGACTGGCCGAGCTAGATCAAGGAACTGAGCCACTACGGCAGTAACAAGTAGCTAGAAGTAGAGACTAGAATCATAAACTCCAATATATATATATATATATATATTTTATGAGGACTATAAATGCCAATATACATTTACCAAGCAGGAAATATTCTGACCTGAGGATGGCTAGAAAAAAAACCTAAACATGGCACCTTATCATACAAAGAACAAGGTTAATATCACATTTCTAAAGAAGAAGATTTTAGAAAATCCCTTAGAAATTCTCTTTATGGAAATCGAATTTCGTTGTAGTTTTCCTGGAGAAATCTTGAGCTAATCTCCTCAGTTCTCCAGTCAATCCCGGTGCTCCACAGTAAAACACTCCTGCAACAAGAACAGGCAACAATTAGCATAGCTCAGTAATGAAGTGCGATACCTTTTCTTTTGCTAACATGAACTGGGAAGACTAGTGTTAAGCAGAGGCAATTTACCAACTCTTTGATCAGGATGATTGACAGCTACATGCTTGAACACTTTTCGCCAATTAGGCCTGGCAAAGTGTGTCTTAACTCGTGTTTCGGAGACTATATCGACTCCACTTTTAGCATGTTGAAGAGATTGAAGCATGGTGATTAAAGCTGATCGAGCATCGCCTTCTTCGTAAACACTTGTGCAATAATTATGAAGTTCGATGACTCTATCTTGATCATAATCAGCTACCTCGTTCATTACACCTCTAAACCACTCGAACGAGCCTTGCTCGCGCGTGACCCAATAGAAGTAAGCTCGTTTGGTTGCGAAAGGCTTTCTGTTGTTGCCCTTGATACCACTTTCTACCAACCCCTCTTCCATTTCCTTCTGCTGCTTGATGTTGTTAAGCACATCTTTGACTATGCTTATTAGAGGGGTGGCACCGATGCCAAGTCCAACAAGAAGGAGAA